CAAACCTTTGATAAAGCCCACCTCAAGCTCAAACACCTTTCCCAAATTTCAAACACTTCACATTCCAACATTCTGAAACACATGTACGCAAACACATTACTGTGTGCTATAAAGTTAAAAGCACTACAATTGGAGGATTACAAAAATTAATAGCCGGCTGGAATTTAATACTATAAATGGTGACTCCAATTTTTTGGCTTAAAAGGTGTGAAAAATTTGGTATTAATTTTGGCGGCGCATCAAAATGTAGAGACTTGATATCTATAGAAGTTTGGTGACCTTGAAGTAAAAAGGTCGTTCATGTGACCAAGAGGTCACAATGGCTGAAAGGGGGACAGCCAACACAAACACAATAAATGTCAAATAAATCAGAGAAATATCGGACAAACCTACCATTAAACATAGGTCTACCACAGGTGCCACATATATCATTTAGAGCAATTATAGCACATTAGTAAGTCATTATAACATTCTAAAGCACCTGTGGAGATGTGCGATAATTTGTGCCTTCTACTAGTAAACATGAATTTTTAAATCAATCCATCAACAAAATCGACAGAAATCGTGGGTAAAACTATGAAAACCTCCAAAGGGCCACTGAGAGTGAGAACCACTCTCAACCCCATGATTTTTTTTTGAAGGCCTGAAAATCTAAAATTTCCCTGGGTGGCATACTCCAGAACACTCCCTCAATTGCAAGCAACTTGAACCAGTCAGAATTGCCCTGAGGAAGGTGACATACATGTAGCCTCCACAGCATGCCAAAAACTGGTTGTTTTGGGGGTCTTCAGGGTTTTTGGGAGCTTTTATGTGCTATTTTCTGATTGCATATAGACAACATAGCCGGCCTGGTTGAATTATTAGAACTAGGCTAATCAGAAAACAGCCGAAAACACCAAACCCCCAGTTCTATAAGCCTGCTACGGAGGCTAAAGGTGACAGACGGTCACCAAAACGTTGGCTGAACAATCCTCCTAGTAGTGCAAAAAGAGTGTCTTTATTCAACTCTTTCCTGCGTTTTGTAGTGTTGAGTTATCGACCTGACATGTCAGGGTGACCCCCTACATGAGTCCTTTTCACCTGAAAACTATCATTACCCAACGCAGGGGGGATAATTCTAATTATCTTCCTAATTAGTCATAATCATCTCTCAGGCGTCCGTCATTATTTTCTTCAAGTAGATCAAACACTAAAAAAAGTTTTCTATGCAGCCATACAAAAAATGTTCTGAAAAAGATTATTTCTGAGAAGACTAAAGAAAGAAAGATGGTGGATACCACCTGGAAGCTTTTGAAGCTTCTACGCTTTACAGAACTTTAGTCATGCGTAACAGGTTAATTTTTCCTATAAATAAAGACTTACTAAAGTCCAATATGATTTGTTCATCCTAATTTCTATTTTTCATACTAGCTGGTAATATCTTTAACCTTCCTGTGCTATGGTAGCTGTTTGGCACCAAATTTGTTTGGTTATGGTGTTAGGCAGCAGGGAGAAGGTTAACTCAATAAAAAGTTCTCAGAACACACTGTCTTATACACAACTTAGGGTAAACTAAATATTATGTCAATACGACATACATGTACATCGATTCAATATGTAATGTCAGACTATATAAACAATCATCATCATCAGATGGCAACATTGCTTAATCCGGCTTAACTTTTTGATGTCTTAACCCCAATTCTTTTCAACGAAATCTTTTAAAATAAGAAACAAACTTTTACCTGGTCGAATACCGACAGCAGTGGCGAAAGTGATCAGTAGTCAAAACCCTGAAGACTTTATATTCCATATCTCCTTGGCTACTTTCGCTTCTGAAGACAATGTTTGCTGAGGTCATTGTTCTTGCCTAATCCAGCTTTGCAGCAAACTTTCCCCACATTCGCACATGTAGCCCCCACACAACATCATTTGTCTGTTTAGCCGACAGCTTGTTTTGATGTTATGCAAGTTACGGTCAGTCGCAAAGATAAGGGACCGCATGATGAGGCCACAGCAGCTTAATTAATTGGTTCTGGATTCGCCAGCTTCAGTTTTTTTCTGAATTTGGAAAATAAGAAATTCAGGTTCTGAATCAACTCCAAAATGTTCATAGTTTGGCCCCAAGAGTTGAAGAAAAGTCCTTGTGTTCCTAGTTGTTTCAAATGTTTTTCATCTATCAAAATGCAACGGTTTGATTAAAACTACAAACCAGCCTGGTATAATGTTGACTTCATGGCTCTTATCGAAACCTTTAGGGCTATCATAGGTTACCTAGGTCTGTTTTTTTGCCCGGTCGCTTATTTTTTTTCTGAGAATCTGAGAACAAATCAAAGATAAGAGCCCACATGATAAGGAAAAAGTTGTAGTCTCTAACGGACTAACTACGCTGGCTATACATGTATATAGGAGAATATTTGCCAGAAGAGTTTGGCCACCGCAAGGGTTTGACTGGCCGCAGAGGGAAAGAAACAACCTTCCAAGGACAGTCTCACCAGGCCAATTGTACTCTCCTTTTTGCTGAATTCTACAATCCGTACCCCCGTAGGAAGGCCTGGTGGAGGCCAAAAAAGTTGTAGTCTCTACCAGACTACCTACGCTGGCTATATATTGGAGAATATTTGCCAGGGAAGTTTGGACACCTTGAAAAAGAAACAACCTTCCGCAGACTGACTTGCCTGGCCAATTTTACTCTCCTTTTTGCCAAATTCTAGGATCCGTACCCCCGCAGGTAGGCCTGGTGGAGGCTACCACATGATAAGGAAAAGGTTGTACCCATGCACATTTAGGAACATGTGAGTTTGCCCAGCTGGCTATCGGGCATTGTGTTCTCTAATCCCAAATTAATCCCACTTGATCCCAAAATTACCTCCCTGAGCTAGCCAGAGAAAACACCTCGTGCGAAAACAACTGCCACATCGGAGGAACTGTTTTCTTACAATCTTAGCAATCATTGTAGCGAAATTCTACAATTACTGTAACAGTCCCACAGTATGTATGTGTAAGCAAAAGTTATGTCTGTAGATGGAATATGTTAAAAGAGAACTAACTGATAACAATACTGTACTTGTAAACAAATGTGCAAAAACATTATCAGATACTAGTAGTACAAAATGTAGTAGGCCAGTTCATCAAGATTCTCGAAACAGTGGTAATAGCTTTGAAAGTATATTATTATGTAAAATGTTTTAAGAGAGTTCACTTACAAGCTGAGAACATGAATCAGCTAACTCACCAACATGCTGAAGTGCACTCTTAGCAATAACTCAACCAAAACCCACATTAACAAGCCAGAGTTTATCACTATACAAATGCACTTAGTCTATATCATCATGATATACAAAATGTAATTAAAAAAACACCAATCTTTTAAAGAGGAAATTGAAAAATATATTTTGATTTTTGCGTAGTCATTCTGGCTAATGCATACCAGACTATTTCCTGAGTGTTCTAGCTACGAAACGACATAATAACTATGGGACTTATTGCTTAACACTGTACAAAACATCATAGGTACGCAGTAAATATCCAGCCATACACACATTAAAGAAAAGTCCATATTTATCTGCCCCCCAGCCAAGTTATGAAGTACTTCACTACTGATAGTCAAGAGCAGATATGTGGGAAAAAATCGAACTGTTTGCCAAACTGTGATGTTAGATTAAACTACAAGGTTAGGGAGTTATCACTGAGTAAACATAGCATGCCAAAAACTGGGGGTTTGGGGGTCTTCATGGTCTTTGGGAGCTTTTACGTGCTATTTTCTGATTGCATATAGACAACATAGTCGGCCTGGTTGAATTACCCCCGTTTTTAGAACTGGGCTAATCAGAAAACAGCCTGCAAGGTTAGATTAAACTATAACTTAGGTTAGGGAGTTATCGCTGAGTAAACTTTGCTTCTGGTAACCTGCATTAACTAGGGGTACATTTCTGGTTGATAAAATCGTGATAACTGAATGATATCTGTGACTTATTTCATAAACAACAAGTCCTTGAGACACAAATGCGTTGGTAGATTATCATCAATGCTAATTACAACCTAAATGGAAATGACAAAATAAAAAAATAATCTTAGAAAAAAAGCTCTAAATATTTCTAAATGGAGGTATAAGATCCCTGAACTTTTGTTTTACATGTACTTTTATCACCAATTATAACACAAAGACTGAGGTTACCATATCAAGTAAAAAAATTATAGTGTAATGTACAGACTATGAACTATAAAATGTTGCAAAAATGTCAAGATTTACAAATTTCTATTTTAATGTAACTGTATGTAGCAAAGACAAGGCAGTGCACAGTGGAATTATAGTAACTGTTGTAGTGTAGCAATTTATATTATTATTACTCAAATGGCAACAGGAACTTGTTGTAGCGGCATCAGTGTTGCTATTGTATGCACAGCAGGAGTTTGCTTTTAGTAGACTATCATTAGAAGTTACTTGTATATAGTAAAAACACAGTACGACGCATGTTTGTGTGCATAGAGGTTGATATATAGTTTTGAAGTCAGTGTCATATACATTTTGTAGTGCGGCACTTAATCAAATGTAAATTCTTGCCTTTTCTTCATAAAATGCTTTATATGGTATCTATGTTCTCAAAATTTTCCACACTACCCCCGGTACTAAGACTTGATTACAGTAAAAGTATACTATTAGGTGCATACACCTTGCTTTGGGTTTGCAATATCTTTCTATTTTACATGCACATATTAATATAATCGTTTTCCTACATGTACATGAAAGACAATTTGAAAGATAAGAATCGCCTGAGTGTTGTCAGCAAATTGTCTTTTAAGCGATGTGCAAAAAAACCTTCAATCTTTTAAGGCGAAGAAATCGAAAATGTTGATTTTTGCAGTCATTACTAGCAAAGCTAACTCTGACCAGTGCATACCACACTTTTTCCTATTTTACATGCACATATTAATATTACTTTTCTACGAGCGCAATTTGAAAGATAAGCATCGTCTGTCAGCAAATCGATAAGAACCAGGATGTGAGATAGATCAGACCGACGGCCGAGCCACTGTAGCTTCAGAACGACAAAGTCTCCACACCGAACAGTTGTGAGGTGAGTCTTGCTCTCATGTTCCTACAATTTTCATGATCTTTTCTCAGTTTATATCACTAGTATGTGCACTACAGTAGTGATGCTGTTACAGTATTAATCTGCCAATTGGCTAATTTAGTCTAGCCATGAGACAACAGAGGTCCCAGGTTCGATTCCTAGCAAGACATTTTGTTCTTGGGACTTGACATGACTTTCCTCACTCCACCCAGGTGTAGAATGGGTACCTGACTTTGGTTGGGGAGGTAGGGCAGTGAAAGGAGAGGGATGGGGCTTGGGCTCTGCCTTCCCATACCAACGGTCACACTGTCCTAGACACAGTGGATTAACAACCCATGCACTGCCCCTACAGCATCAAAACCGTTATGGGACTACCCCGGTACCTTTTACTTTTTTTGTGTTTTCTAAGGATGTGTTATTGGTACTGTACGTTGGTTATTTTTTCTTTTTCCTTCAGGTTTTTACCCAAAGCTGTTGAGGCTGAACCATGGGGAAGATACTGATCATATGTCTGGTTCTGCTGGCCATGGTGAATGGGTGAGTCAAAAAAACTTACACTTCATTTCTATCTCATTTTTGTAGTACATAAATGCTTTACCTAGCCTCCATATAGCATGTCAAAAACTGGGGGTTTGGGGGGTCTTCAGGGTCTTTGGAAATTTATGTGCTATTTTCTGATTGCATATAGACAACATAGCCGGCCTGGTTGAGTTACCCTCAAAAAACAGTCGAAGACCACCAAACCCTCAGTTCTATAAGCCTGTCTGCTATGGAGGCTTTATGCTTTACCTCATACTGATAAGTAGTATGGAGTGGTTCGGGCTGAAAATTTGTTGCAGTTGGAAACAGACGGTAGCAAGGTGGTCGCTATGCTTGTGATCTGCTCCCTCATGATAAATTTCTCTAGAAAAACCTGTTACCTGTTATTTCAATCCTTCTAGTTGTTTTACAAATGAATGTTTGTCTGTCACCAGGCTAGCTGCCCTGTCCTGTCTTCCGTGTGGGGAGTTTGAATGTCAGGAACCTCCAAAGTGCAAGAGAAACGCAAACTACGTCAAGGATGTGTGTGGATGCTGTGACGTTTGTGCCAAGGTTAGTCCTATTTTATTTTCTTTTTAGGCCACACCAATTTAATTTTTTGTTTCTCGAATTTGCCCTGTCCATTTTTTTTTGAGTATTGTCTGTCCAGTATTCGTTTCTATGTGCGGGACACAACACCAGCAACAGCTGCCTCTGTTCCGCGTGTATTGCACTGTTGCAATTTCAATAAATCAAATCAAATCAAACAGTGTAAACTTTACTACATAACGAAAATGCATAATTTGGTTGAGAAATAAGCTTTTTTTTTTGCAGGTGAAGGGAGAGAGCTGTGGTGGACTGTGGAACCTGGATGGAACCTGCGCAGATGGACTGATATGTCAGGAACCCGACCCACCCACTCCTAATGAAGATGGCCTTATTGCTTTCAATCCTCATGAACCCGGGACATGTGTGAAAGATAAGAAAGCCAAAAAGGAGAAAAAAGGGAGGAAGAGGCATTACAGGAGGGATATTTTTGGGGATTCGGAGAAATAATTCTCAACTCCCAGAGGCTCTGAAGTGCCTACAAAGGCAAGAATCTTAAACATAGTTTTTCTGTGCACCAACTTTTTTCATACTATTGGAAAGAAAGTGACACAAGGCATATTTTAAGCACCATTCCAGAGCCACTTTTCCTTAAAGTTGAAGCAATTAGAGATATAATTGTAAAGTAGATATGTTAACATGTAACTAGCAACAAGATGTTAACTTATAGTAGTAGTCTTTACATACATTATGTGCCTGATTAAAAATCAGAGATGTAGAATGATATAAAATAAACTTTGCTGAAAACCTCTTACAGTCTCTCTTTCCAATTAATATATTCTCTTTTCTTTAAGACTTTCAGATAGCTTTAGCTTTAAATGACATTTACATCAGTATCTTACCACTGAAGTGGAAAAATCAAACTTTTGTTATCATTCAAGTGTTGAATTTCTAATATTATTAGCTAGCATGTAGGACTGTGTAAGGTTGTACATGTACATTGTACATGTATGCCAACAAAGCAAAGACTCACTACCCTGACTATCACAGGGGTCAAAATTAAAGGTGCTGAATGTACAATGTAGCAAGGCGAAGGCAGTGGTCTGTTACTGTAGCAATTTACTGAAATGGCAACTTGTTGTAGCGACATCACTGTTACTATTGTGTGCGCAGCACAAGTTTGCTTATTATAGACTAATAATAACAGTTACTTGTATATAGTAAAAATACAGCAAGGCTCATGTTTGTATGCATAGAGGTTGATATATTGTTATGAATTCAGTGTCATATACTAATAGTACAGCTACATTATCTTTAGTGTAAATATTCTTGCCTTTTCTTCATAAAATGCTTCAAACTGTCTCTGTGTCTGCAATGTGCCACACTACATTATACTACTGTACAGTAATAGTATACCATATAGTACATGTACTTGGTTTGGGTGTGTAGTACCTTTCTATTTCCTATTTCACATGCACACAATATTATTACTTTTCTATGAGCGCAATTTGAAAGATAAGCATCAAGACTTAGTGTCAGCATATCGATAAGAACCAGGATGTGCAATAGATCAGACCGACAACCGAACCACACTAGCTTCAGAACTACATTAAGTCGACACACGAAACAGTTGTGAGGTGAGTGTTGCTCTCACGTTCCCACTTCCAACAATTTTCATGATCTTTTCTCCGTTTACTAGTATATCTATTCACTAGTCAGTGTGGCGTCAAATGGCCATGTAGCAGTAAAGATAGGCAACGGGATACATTATACATACTGGCTAGATATTGTTTCTTTTGGATAGACACTTTACACAACTTTCCTCACTCCACCCAGGTGTAAAATGGGTACCTGACTTCAGTTTGGGAGGTAAAAGGTGGTGGAAGGAGAGGGATGGGCTCCACCTTCCAATACCGTGCCCAAGAGACAGTGGACTAACTACCCACTGTCCCTATGGCCTCAAAAAGGCTATGGGACTACCTTACCTTTTGTTATATTTTTGTATGTGTTATTTGTACTGTACTTTTTCTTTTTCCTGCAGGTTTTTACCCAAAGCTGTTGAGGCTGAACCATGGGGAAGATACTGATCGTTTGTCTGGTTCTGCTGGCCAAGGTGAATGGGTGAGTAAAAAATAACTCTCAATTTTGTGATAGACAGTGTGTTACTATAAGACTTACAAAAACGCATATTTGAAGTCAATAGCATGAAAGTTCATCTGTGTTGGTGTAATACATTATGACAAACAGGCTAAACTTTCCATGAACAAAACTGAAGGTGTCAGCCGAAAATTTGGGTAAGTCCCAATTAACAATCTGAGTGTTGGACATTAAGTTTAGCATTTTTGTCTCCCTTGTTTTTTTTTTTTCACTTTGCAGTTATTGCCAAACAGCAAAAATAAACTTAGTACAGATGGGTTTGGGCTTGCAATTTTAAAAAGAAATAAAATCCAAGTAAAATAGAACAGGTTTTGCTATCGCAAACCTGTAAAGAGAGAGAGGGAGAGGGAGAGGGAGAGAGAGAGAGAGAGAGAGAGAAATTACAAAATTCCATGTTTGTCTGTTACCAGGCTAGCTGCCCTGTCCTGTCAAACATGTGAGGAGGTTGTATGTGAGGAACCGCCAAAGTGCAAGGCTAACGCAAACTACGTCAAAGACGTGTGTGGATGCTGTGACGTTTGTGCCAAGGTTAGTCCTATTTTATTTTATTTTTAGGCAACACCAATTTAATTTGTTTCTCGGATTTGCCATGTCCATTTTTTTCTGATTTGCAAAACAAACAAAAAAACAGATTTGAGGTTCTGAATCAACTGCAAAATGCTCATATTTTGGCCCCAACAGTTGACAAAAGTCCCTTTCTTCCTAGTTATTAAAGTTTTTCAATGTAACAATGCAACTACGTTTCATTAAAAGTTCAAAATCTATCAGTTTTATAATTTTAAAACCAGCGTGGTATATTGACTTCATAGCTCATATTGTAATATTTCCGGCCTTCATGGGGTGCCTTGGCCCATTTTTTTTTTTATTTGCCCTGTCGCTTCATACTTTTTCTGAAAAAATCCGAGAAACAACAAATCAAAATGGTGTGGCCAATATTTACATAGATTTGAGAGCATCAGACAGAAAGCACATAAAGTAATTATTATAGTAATCCTTTGCTCATAAAACACAAAGGAGCTTAAATATGTGAGTCCAATTCATTGTGTTGGAAATTACAGTTTAAACTTTACTACTACTACAGTTTAAACTTTAATACATAATTTTCAGAAAGAATATGGCGCGACAGGGCATACTAAAGTAATTTGGTTGAGAAACAAGCTTTTTTTTTTGCAGGTGAAGGGCGAGGATTGTGGGGGTGAGTGGAACATCCATGGCATATGTGCAGATGGGCTGATATGTCAATATCCTGAACCACCCTCTACTACAGACGATGGCCTGTTCATTGCACCGTTGGATCCGTTTGCGCCCGGAACATGTGTGAAAGACAAGAAAGCAAGGAGGAAGAGGAGGGGCATGTCATTTGCTGGGAAATAATTCTCAACAACTCCCAGAGGCTCTGAAGTGCCTACAAAGGCAAGAATCTTGAACGTAGTTTAGTTTTCTGTGCACCAACTTTTTTCATACTAGAAGTGGAAAGAGGCTGTGACACAAGGTATATTTTAAGCATCATTCCAGAGCCACTTTTCTTGAAGCAATAATTATAGAACGTGAGGTATAATTGTAAAGCAAACATGCTTCAGATTATGCTTCCATTTTAAAGTAGTAAAAGGATATTAAGTCATAGTACTTTACATATACATTATGTGCCTGATGAAAAATCAGAGATGCAGTTATAAGAAGAATAAACTTTGCTGGAAACCTCTTACGCAGAGTCTCTCTTTCCAGTTAATATATTTGGATAGCTTTAGCGTTATCTGTACAGCTGGTATAACCGCCCTTTGGTGTAACACACCAGCTCCTGTTATCTGTATAGCCGGTATAACCGCCCTTCAGCGCAACACACCAGCTTCTGTATCTGTAGAGCCGGTATAACCGCCCTTCGGCGTAACACACCAGCTTCTGTATCTGTATAGCCGGTATAACCGCCTTTCGGCGTAACACACCAGCTTCTGTATCTGTATAGCCGGTATAACCGCCCTTCAGCGTAACACACCAGCTTTACAGGCACGCGGCGCGGCGGCAGCTAGCTACATTACACCGAGCGTTACACCTAATAAACATCTAACTCTAAACATTGTTTATGACTACCCTGACTATCAATGTAGGCCATACTGCAATAAAACTGCGTCACCAAGTCAAGTCTGAGTGTGCAAAGCAAACAGATCATTTCTCCTCTCAGGAAACAGTAATTATACCATAAACTATACGAAGCTTGCAAACCTGCCAACTTAAGCTGTTGACTTTAAGTAGTAGACCGGTAACTTTCGGCAGATTTATAGCAAAGTACCCAACAGAAATGGCACAAAGATTTGAAGCACAACATGATGCAATAGATGCAGCTAATGCAACAAATCCACTATGTATCAATTGAGACATTTCTGACACATGTTATCAAATGTAACAAAACAAAATGTAGCAACAATGGCAAAATACCTATCAAAAATGGAACAAAGGTACAAAACACGACATGATGCAATAGATGCAGCTATGAAACAAAATTAATCCACTGTGTATAAATTGAGACATTTCTGACACACGTTATCAAATGTAACAAAACAAAAAGTAGCAAAAATGACAAAATACCTAACAGAAATGGAACAAATACAAAGCACGACATGATGCAATACTGCCATAAAGATACAGCTAGTGAAACGAATCCACTGTGAACAGAATACAATTGAGACATTTCTGACACAAGTTATCAAATGTATCAAAATAAGTAGCAACATATCCTCTCTTTTTTGTTACACACTTTTGGAATACTTTCTTGGTGTTAATATAGTTGGAATGTGGTACAAAAAAAGGCAGTGACAATGTGTATCAATAGGGATAAGACCCTACTACTTTTACAAACATTTTATCAACCTAGATTCCTCCTTAAAATGTGCTAATTTGTAGACTACAGCTATTATTTCTACATCGAGCGGAGCCCAATCTTTCCCGCCAAACTCTGTCGGCTTATCGTGCTATTAACCCTAATGCCACCAAGATCACACACGATACAGACAAGAAGCAACTTACCTCATCTCGTTGTCAACACTCAATCAACGAAGTTACAGGAAATAAACGCTTCTATTCCATCGTTAGCGCTTCTCTTCGAAACTTCACAGAAACACCTGTTTTGCGCGTGAAGTAACTTCTGTGCAGCACTGTATCTGACCCCTTATTTGCGAGGCACCATTCACACATACCAGTCCGCACTGCTGGGGGAACAATCAGGAATTCCTTCGTATCGAAGCGGCGGAGACAAATGACCTAAAGTCCGTAGCAACCCCACGGGTGCTACTGTGAGATCTGCCAACAATCGGGGCTGGATAGTCAAACAATTAGGACATCAAATACCACTCAGTAGTTCAGGTTGTCAGCTTGGCAACCTGGTGTGACGCAAGGCTCTAGCTACTGGATAAATGAAGAGCAGGGGTCTCCCCAGAAATTCTTAGGGGAGAAGTGCTCCCAAATCGGTTGATAAAAAATCTGCATATTTTCATGAAAATACCAAGGGAAAACCCTAAATTTGAACATTTTGGTAGAGGTGCTAGGATTTTAGGGAGAAGGGGAGCACCCTTGCTTCATTGCTTGGGGAGAGCCATGAAGAGTCAAATGTTTCAGCTGGGTACTGAGATGAGAAAGATGACTGATGAAAGATACTGGATGGATGCTAAAATGTCTGGCTAAGGGCTCTAGCTAGTACCAGTTTTTCTGTCAATTACCGGAACTTTACGGCGTGTGACGGAAATTTGTTTAAACCAATCCATCAACTTTGATAGACAAAGTTAACAAAAATCTTGGGTAAAAATATGAAAACATCCAAGAGACCAACAACAACAACTTTCAAATCCAAGATTTGCCTTAAAAATGTTGGAAATTGAGCTTTGAAAGGCTTGACATTTCAAAATTTGTCCCTGGACCCCCCTAGATTGTGAGCACTCTCCCCCCAGGTCCAATCATGAACCTAGGCTGACGGAAAAAGATTTCAAGCTGACTAGAGCCTAGCCTCCATAGCATGCCAAAAACTGGGGGTTTGGGGTCTCCATTGTCTTTTATGTGCTATTTTCTGACTGCATATAGACAACCCGTTTTTTTAGAACCCAGGGGTAATCAGAAAACAGCCGAAGACCACCAAAGCCCCAGTTCTATAAGCCTGCTACTGACTGGGCTAATCAGAAAACAGCCGAAGATCACCAAACCCCCAGTTCTATAAGCCTGCTACGGAGGCTAATCAGAAAACAGCCGAAGACCACCAAAGCCCCAGTTCTATAGCCTGCTACGGAGGCTAATCAGAAAACAGCCGAAGACCACCAAACCCCCAGTTCTATAAGCCTGCTACAGAGGCTAGCTAGTGACGTAAAGTGTTTAGTCATGGGAAATTTTACCGACCAAAGCAAAAGCCATCAATCAACCTGTTCTACAGCTTAGAGGCAATTTGTTCAGTTACAGCAAAAAGAGATATCGGTTTCAACTCAATAACAAGACACTACCGGTACTTGAGATTGTTTTCACTTAAAGAAATACACAATTCACAACATGTTGGTTGCATATCAATCAATAGTTCATACTTAAAAACCTGCTTTTCTGACAACTCTCCAGTGTCACTGACAAAAGCTAGTGGATGCTACCTGAAACGTCTGACTGTTTCCAAAGTCATATCCAGTTGCTTGAATAACTGTTTTTTGGCATACTGGTTGCATCGTTTAGTACCAGTAACTTCTTGCTTTTGGCTAAAGGTTTCATGTCATTAAACTTAGAGAAAAAAAAGTGTGTTCACAGGTTTCTTGTCATGTTTACAATCACTTTGTACCACAAGACAGCCACTCGGAAGTATAGAACATCCTCCAAAAGATAACGATTAACGAATAAATAAAATTTTTAAGATAGAGGTCGTTACTAATGGCAACTTGTTTAAAACAGAACTAGAAGACAGAACTTTCTTCATGTTTACGTAAGTGCTTTATTTCGTAAGACTGAGCCACTTCAAATTAGAGAACATCCCTAAGATAAAAAACATTTTTAAGATAAAAAGTGGTTCCTTAGCAACTTCTATACAACAGAGGCCAGGTAATTTGTAGTAGGCATCTGCAAGGAAGAACAAACACATCTTGACAAATGATGCACAAGACAAAACAGACCGAAAAGACCATTGTGAAAAGTGGCACACACTGTGCATTACTGCACAAAAGGGGCCTGATAATAGCTAAGTTACTACCTGTGTCAAAGGGAAATATTACATGTATCTAAGGGATGCCCAAAATGCCTAGCCTCCATAGCATGCCAAAAACTGGGGGTTTGGGGGTCGTCAGGGTCTTTGGGAGCTTTTATGAGCTATTTTCTGATTACATATAGACAACATAGCCGGCCTGGTTGAACTAACCCGTTTTTTGAACTGGGCTAATCAGAAAACAGCCAAAGACCACCAAACCCCCAGTTCAATAAGCCTGCTACGGAGGCTACAAAATGCCATCCCATTGGCTATGTAGAGATGGCTACTTGTACAGGTTTAACACTGTACGAAACACAACTTTCAGCTGACCTAAAGCCCATTGTGGAATTTTAAAAAGCAGTACACACTGTGCAAAAAGGACTGACAACAGCTTTCTGCAACATACATAGTACTGATCTGGAGACTAGCCTCTACCAGGATTCAGAAGTGGCTGGAAAGGGTAGAAATTGGCCAGATAGATAGATAACATGCCAGGGGAGTTGGTCCACTAAAGGAGTACAGTTTGCTGCTCCTGTCCCTCTCTAAATGTACTAAAATAAAACTTCACTACCAAGTTAGTGTTAAGAGTTTTCAACTATATCTAAGAGAATACAGTGAGGTATAACAGGATTGATGTTGAAAGTTAAAACTTTTGGTCCAACACAAAAAAGTTCTCTCACCTACAGCTCTCGACCAGTCACTCTGGTCTTTTTCAGTATTCCTAGACTGAGGAAGACCAGAGTGACTGGTCCAAAGCTCTAGGTGAGAGAACTTTTTTGTGTTGGACCAAAAGTTTTAGCTTAAAACATGTAACTACCAACACAGATGAACTTTCATCGATGATAAGATTGAAGTTAGCCAAAGATAAACAACTAGGGTACAGTGTAAGCATTACCATGGTAACAAAAAATCAACAGAAAACGTTCCGTTTGACAAATAAAGGTGTGACCACCGCGCACAAACAGTTGACAAGGACGCCGTGTTTGTCAGAAGTGGACACTTGTTTACAGTTTTACCAGGTTAATCCTGCATGAGTTTATTTGTAGGGTGGTACTGTTGACCAGTCGAGCACCTCTTATAAAAACAGGTAGCTGTGAAGATAGCCTGGGTGCCAGACTGTTGTCAGGGCCTATATTATATCCAGAACCGTGCTTATCTAGTTCTATACCTGAAACAGGTAGTTGTGAACCTAGCCTGGGTCCCAGACTGTTGCAAGGCACTTAATTGTATCCAGAACCATGCCTATCTAGTCCTATGCCTGAATGGGTACCGGTTAGGGTTAGCACATCTTATAAAAACAGGTAGCAGTGAGCTTGCA